GCGTTAATTTACTTTATGCAAATAAAATATAGGAACTTGACTATACATTCAACCTTCCGTTTACAAAATGACTTTCAGAGTATTGCTCCTGACCGTTTCGGAAAGATTCCAAGTCATTTCCAGAGTCGTCTAACCGACGCTCATAAAATGAACTTGAAATGCCTTCTTTACAATAGATCCCTATATTAGTCAAAAGATGGCAGACACCCTACATTACATGACAAGGTTAGTGCCATAAATATAATCTATGCTTAAACAAAAGCCCATCATACTCTATATTCAACCTTCCGTTTACACCTAAAGTGAATCAAAATTAACTGGAAAAAAATTATAGATACTTAAAAGAAAAGCATAAAACAAGGGCTTCTAACATTTAAGTATAACATAAGTGAGGAATGTAACTAAATTCCACTTGAACATCAGCAGTAGAATGTTAATTAAATTCCACTTGAACAGCAGCAGTAAAATGTTGATTAAATTCCCAACCGTTCAATTCTTTACTAAGAATATGCATCCAACTATCAATATCAGGATATGGAATGATAGGTATGTACTTCATTTCATACCTATCATTTCATTTGACCAGTAGTGAATATAATGTTAATTAAATTACCAAATTCTTCTATAAACATATGCATCCAAACATCAATATCAGGGTAAAGAACGACAGATTTATACTTCAATTCAATGTCCAACATGAAGCCCATATGGTGATGATACCAACAATAATGCTCTATCTCTATAATGATTCTTGCCCATAATTTAATGTACATCTTAAGCATAGCAAACAAATGATTATTCCAACAAAAGCATATAATTACAATTCAATACATGATATTTATAGTTTACGAGGCAATAAAGAAATACCTCAAAAGTCAGGAGGTTGAAAGCATGTATTTAACGGCGAAGAAACATCCCCAGGTTACTGTTTGGGTCCAAAATAACCTGATCATCGTCCATAACTCCTGAATCAACCCCTCCAAGTGTTTCTACCAAAAAAACAATAATGACAGGGGAAATGAAGATGCTAAAGTGAGTAAAACAACAAACAAATAAAAAAAGCTAACCTCGCAACTCATTAAAGAAATTGAACAGATCATCAGGCGATGATAAAGATGATAATCGACTAGTTACATGATCAGTTAACCAATCATCCATTAAACAACCAATCTCTCTCAATTGGATAATGAGCTGATCTAATTTCAACTCCAACATGTCATCACATGACTGCAATACGCAAACACTCATCAATTTTAGTCATAGAAAAATGATTACCAGAATAAGTCCAATAATGTTTTTAGGGTGCTCATAATAAACTGGAACTCTGCTATGCCCTTTCTCCAAAATTAAACTCATCAATTCCCTGCCCATAGCAAGCATGTAATGGTAGTTTATAAAATCAAATGAAAGTTGAAGTAGATATTCAAATGCCATCTTTCTTGGTAATTTACAGAAAACCATACCTGTCAAGCTTGGCATTAATATCAATTGCAAATGTTTCAGATATGGGAGTCATGGCATCTTTAGCTTTTTTCTCAGTGAGCTCAAGTGCTCCAGCTATAATTGTTGTCTCATCATGGGTCAGCTCTCCACCTTTGCCAGCCTAATAAAGGTCCAACAAAAGGATCGTAAATCTGAAAGTTATGATGAATGAAAGAAGGCATTGCACTTCAAAAGGCAAAGACACATCAAGAATTTTACAATTCAAAATGAGAGAAGTTAGAAAGTACAACAGTGATTAATTAATGGTCAAAAACAAATATTGATTTGATAAACAAAAACAACCAAGATAATAACTAGTTATAGAAACAAGCAAATTAAACAACTATAGGGAAAAGATTGGATGCAAACCTCGTTTCCATGCAAATCTACAAGGGTTTTTAACTCGGCTCTTCGAAAAAGTGCTATATGTCCATGACCCAACAGAAAGTCTAACAGCGGAAAAAAAACAGAGAAGGTCAGCCACAAGAGCAATCTACAAGAATTACATGCTTGGTTGTCTTTCTCACTGTCATAAAAGCATTACTAGGAACGTTCATCACCTTGCTTATTGGGTAGGCAACAGGAAAACATATCCAAACAAGAATTCGAACGAATGGAGCTAACTTTACACCAATTGCCAAACCATATCGAGAACAAACAGATTGTGGTATTATCTGCACAAACAGTTAAATTGCAATTAGGATTTAGGGCATTCAAAGAACTTGATTCCTTTTTTAACAGCTATAAGTAATTTCACTTTCTAAGAGCAAGTCTAAAGCCATAATGGTCAGAAAACAATTTTATAAACCAACGGTTGCAACCTTCTGGGAAAAAGCTGCTCAGCCAAAAGTTTAGCAAATAATATCCGAGTAACATATCAAAATTTTCATATCACAACTAATCAGTGTTTAACAAGGATTTCTAGCTCTACCGAGTTAAAAAACGCTTCAAATAAAATAAGCCAAGGTGGATACTCACCTCACTGAACAGAAGAATCAAGGTCACTGAAATCAAGATAGCACCCCAAGCTATGCTGAGAAACGGAGGAGAAAGGGAAAGAGACGGAGATTTGAGAAGGAGAAGCATAACTATGAACCAAAATGCACACTGAAACTAGTCTAAAGTCGAGAGGGAGGAGAGAAGATGAAACATTTTATTTTTTTAGAAAGGGGAGCGGGAATGGAAAAATAGGTGAAGGGGAAAATGAAATAGGGTTAAAGAGGCACCAGATTTAGCAACTTTAAACTTGCGGCGTTTTAAAAAACAAACGCCACTAAAGTACAAGTCTAGCGGCGTTTGTATAAAAACGCCACTAATGTACGAGTCTATAGCGGCGTTTGTATAAAAATACCACTAATGTACGAGTCTATAGCGGCGTTTGTATAAAAACATCACTAAAGTACAAGCCTATAGCGACGTTTGTAAACATAAACACCACAAAATTACGAGTCTATAGCGGCGTTTTTATAAAAACGCCACTAAAGTACTAGTCTATAGCGGCGTTTATATAAAAACGCCACTAAAGTACTACTCTATCGCGGCGTTTTGTATAAAAACACCGCTAAAGTCGAGTCTATAGCGGCGTTTGTATAAAAACGCTGCTAAAGTACTACTCTATCGTGGCGTTTTATATAAAAAACGCCACTAAAGTTACCATTTTGTGGCGTTTGAAATGTAAACGCCGCTATATGTTTAAAGTTAGTGGCGTTTACTCTTAAAACGCCGCTAAAAACGCCACTGTAGAATATTTTTGTTGTAGTGGGATGATTGTAAATATTCTTATTCTCTTAATTCTGACTTTTATTTCATTGAAAATATGTCTAATTTTTTAATATTGGTTTATCCCTATTAATACTAGGATGGAGAGTACTTTTGAGAAGTGATAGTTTGTTGATTGAGATTTGAAGATTTTATTTGGTGTATAAGATTATACATGATGCATCTATTCACTTGAAAAATGTATCACAAACATAGTGCACAATACTATATAAACTGTGTTCCATTTTGTTTTTGTTTGAATTTGATGAAAATTTATTGTTCATGTTTTAGTTTCTATGAATGTTTGAGTATCAATGTTTGGTTTCTATGAATGTTAGAAGAATTTGAGTTTAGGATGTAAAAATATGTTTTGTTCATAGTATTATCCATATCCGCTCCACCCGCGGATGATGGATGGAGCGGATATGGATGAAATTTTTTGTAGGTGATGGATGGTGTGGATGGAGGTTTGGACCGCGGGTGATGGGGCGGATGAAACTCCACCCGACACATCTCCGATCCATTGCCAGCCCTGGATTCATCCATATTTGAGCCTGTCTTGCGAAGTTGTGGAAGAGCCTATAAATTTGGGCCTCCTTTTGTGTTGGGTAATTAATGTTTTGTCTAATCGAATATTATTGGGTTCATGAGGTTTGTTTAAATTTTAAATAGATATTATCCTGTAATCACTTTTAACTATTAGAATAAACTAAGTTAAAGAGCTTCTAGCTGGACCAGAGAGGCTGATCTCGAAAGTAATATCAAAGAGCAAATCACTGAGAAGAAACATATACTATAGGTAGGTTCCACTGTTTCTGCCTAACTGATAATTCACTTTGCCATTTGATGCTGATTCCCCCAAAACACATTTGCAGGATAGCGGTTCATGCATATATAAAGCCACTTACTCTTCATACTCGATACTCGCCATTTGATTTAGTGATCTGAAATCGAATAACAAGAGAGGTACAAAGATGGAGTCCGACCGCAAAGGCAGAGGGTTCATCAAGGGGAAGCCGACGCCGCTGTACCGAGCGGTCAAGCCGGCAGCATCCGCCATTCAATACATCACCAGGGTTCTTCTACAACAGCTTTGGTTGATTTTCAAGTTCGCCAGGACTACATGATTTCGCAACCAAAGAGGATTTCATTTGTTGTTCCTGCTGACAAGAACCGAGAAAATTTAAGCCATATCGACAATTTCTTTGGCGTTGTCGGCGACGAGAGTGTTAATCTTAAGGCTGCAACTTACATCTCTTCTGTCAAGAGCGTTTCAAGCTTGAAAAACAACTTTGAACGAATTAAACTCCCAAGAAATTAATCTCTCGTGTACATGCCTATGTTCTTCGCTTGTTCTTACTACAATACTAATAACACGTTCAACAACTTTATAACCTGACGTTCTTCATTATTTATTATAGTCGATAACATTAACATCGATTACGTCGAAACCATAACACGACGAAAACGCTATCGAGACTTGAGGATGATGATAGACTCAGCCATGGAAGATGGCTTTAAAAGTTTCTTCTCTAAAACCAAATTGTCTCCCTGTGAAAGTTCTCCTAGGTTTTGAAATTTCTAAACACGCATTTACCATGGTGCATAGCACCTACACAGATTGCAAAAATAATCACAAGGCAACAAGATTTCAAAGCAAAGGTTCAACTTTACACATGAAGGCGCAGCTGCTTTACAATTCGTTTCTTTAATAAAAGGCAATAAAGCAAACTAAAAGAAGAAGCATTGAAAATAAAACAATGGCGTTCTCCATAAAGCAAACCCACTAAAGTTTCCATACCTTACCTCACCATTGAACTTAACCCCTTCTTTCTCACTAAGTTTAGCATCATCCCCTCCTCCTTCGCCACCAAGAAAAACATATCACTTCCATTTCCACCCCCTACATAATATAATGAACACCTCTCCATTTTCCAATTTCCATTGGAAGACAAGCTCTCAAACATATTCATAAATTTCGCTTCGCTAAGGCACTACCGGAGTCGAACCAGAGACGGGAAAACAGTAAAGAAAGCGGGGAAAATGAGTGCGGATTGGGGACCGGTGATCGTTTCGGTAGTTTTGTTCATACTCTTGTCACCAGGGTTGCTGTTTCAGCTGCCATCCAGGACAAGGGTGATAGAGTTCGGTAATATGTGCACAAGTGGTATTTCCATCCTGGTTCACGCAGTAATTTACTTCTGCATAATCACTATCTTGATCGTTGCCATCGGTGTTCACATACATATCAACTGATCCAAACTCTCAAGCAAAAAGTGTACTTGTTTGTTTTTTTCTCCTCCATTGGATCTCATTTTTTTCCATGTTATAAACCAAATTTCTCTTTTAGTTCACTATTTTGTTCATTGTTGCTTGCAAGAGAAATCTTGACACCAGTGTAATAATGAAAGCTATTTCATGACAAGGTGGTTCAATTTGTATGAAATTTATTCATGCTAAACATCTTTGATCATTTCAAAATTTGTATGTCAAATATTTTTGTTTTACTTCACAGTTTCTAGTTATAGCTCAAATATTTATGAATTATCATATTATCAACCAATAGAAAAGCACTGAATCCCAGCATCGAAAAAAACAAAGCTTTTAACATAATATAGCAACCAAAAACAGGTCGCCGGCGTTTAATTTATTCAGATGGTAAGCTTAAGAAATGGGACAAAGATAATCAATCAAATCCCAATATTAATGTCCTTCACTTGAAAGAGTTGAAAAAAAAGTAAGCTTTGGGTAATAAAGTTATGTGCCACAAACTGAAAGAAGCTAATACAAAGATTGATAAAGCAAGTAGAACCCAACACAGATCTTGAATCTCACTGGTGGGACTCAGCCGGTGTAGATATGGAGGTGGAGGGCTATGATCAAAACAGCATAGATGGAGAAGAAAAGAAGAGTGTGGATAGCAATGGCCTTGCCATTAGTCTTCATGCTCCCAAACTCCAGCTGCTTCTTGTTCCCCGGAAATGAAAACAGAAGCCCCGGTGGTAGCAGCACAAATAACACCACCCCGATGAGTACAGGTGCCCAATCTGCCATTACAAGAGAGTTGCTTCGCTTAAAATCTAGACTCGACCAGGCCTGTAGAGGTTCAGAAAGTAGTTCTATTAGTTGAGGTGAATTTGTGCGAGACAAGTGTGAAGAAGATGAGGTTACTTTCAAGGTGGCAAGTGATGGTAAGTGGGAGCAATTTGCAAGCACAAGAAAGGATTGGACAGTAATGGGGTGTGGCTTTGTCTGGGATCGGTGCTGAAATCCAATTCTAGCCGTTAGATTAGGTTTTGTCCATTTCTTGACTAATGGAGATGGGATTAGGATTAAAGTTAATCAATTTTTCATATATTCATGGTGCGTTTCATTATATAAGCATGCGATATAAACTGATCCTTTAATGAACGGTGATGGGGAGCGTCAATTAGAACCAATAAATAGTTGAATACAATGTACTGAAATTAATAGCAGAGAAGGATTGGCATCAACAGAAAAAATATGCCTTCCCTTATCCAACTACAACAGCAAGAAAATAAGAAAACATAAAAATAGGAATAATTTAAATTAGCTTTATGTGATTCTCATTCCCTCTATAATTGACTTAAAGTCGCCAATAAAGTATGCCTTTTTTATTCCGTTTATGCTCGTTTGATTCTTCAATACTTGTACCAACTCTGGGCGCTGGAGGAGCTCCATTCATATCCAGAAAGTTGAAACATTCATATATAGAAAATGAATGATTGGGCAGCACCACTGATAGCAGCAGCGCTGTTTGCGTTTCTTTCACCCGGTTTACTGCTGCAAATCCCTGGGAAGCATCACCCCATCCATTTTATGAACATGAAGACCAGCGCGGCCGCCATTTTTGTGCATGCAGTTCTCTATGCTTTGGTCCTCATCTTGTTCCTCGTTGTTCTTCACGTCCGCCTCTATATCTAAGACTACAAACAGGGTTTCTCAGGAGTGCTGCGCCTCTCGATTGATTCTCAGGATGAAATTTTCGTTTCGTTCCTGTGTCGTTTGTAAGTTCTAATATGTTTTTTGCTTTTGCTCTCTCAAGTGCGTGTGTAAATTCATCGGTTTCAGATTATGGTATATCTATGAACTGTTGATGATATTTTCCAAGACTGGGCATGCGAATTCGATAACCTGGAGACATGTTTGCTTAATCTTGAAGAATCAGGGTAATTATTGCAGTGAAACGTCCTTTTTTAAAAGCATAATAATCAAGTCGACAATCAGCTATATAAACCTACCGTCACTGTTCTCTCTCATGTCAAATCAGCTGATTAATACATAGGATAATGGGAAATTAAAGGAAACCCATATCTCCTCTTTACCAACCGGGTCGCTTAACATATACGGGATGGATACGGTCGGATCGAATTTTTGATCTACTTTAATTATATCTGAAAATTAAACTTTTTTTACTTACACTTTATCTGAATATATATAAATAATAATTTATTAGATAAAATAATATCTAATTGAAAAAATAATATAGGAAGAGTTATTATTGCGGTTATCTTAAATATATAAGAGATCATTATAATGCTAAATGGAGTCAAGTTTTTTACCTTAAGGGAGTGTTTGGTTCCAGTCATCTCACATTATCGGGGGAATATAATGTCATTCTTCCGTTTAGTTGGCAAACATTCTCAGCACCCAATAATCATTTATTCCCAACAATAATATTTTGGGGGTATATTATCGGGAATGTGATTACCTTCTTCCCTAAGGTATTGTTAGATTATCAGCGTTTTGGACTAAAATGCTCTTAAATTTTTTTTCTTCAAAAATATCATTATTCTGTCGTTGAATAAAAAAATTCTACGAAGGTTAAATTACAAATTTATCCTTAAACTATTTTAGATTTACAAAAAAAATCCATAATTAGAATTTTATATGAAGTTCGGGATTAAAAATAAAATTTTACCCTTTCATTAAACATATTTATCTTTTTAATTTTGTAAAAAAAATTATATAAATTTTATGAATTTAAAATTTTTAAAGAAAATATATAAATTAATTATAGTAAAATTATAGTAGAATTCAACTTGTTAAAAAAACAAATATATAATAAGGACAATTTGGTAAAATATACATTCTAATAATCTTTTATTCCTTTAATCAAACATTGTAATCTTACATTCATGCTAAACAAATCAAACACAAAATACAACATTCTTAGTAATCTTATTTCTGCCGATAATCATATTCCCGCTGGTAATCTTATATTCCGTGAACCAAACGCACCCTAAAGGTCTAGGTATGACCTGATCGTACCCTAAACCCGATCATACCCTTAAAATTACTTAACTGGACTCGAATTCAATTTCTCAAAATAAAAGATCAACCTAATCAAATTGGTTGAATCAAAACCTATTAGATTAGAGAAAAATACACGTCCCTAAACATATAGCATTGTATATAAAATATTTAATATTTTAAAAAATAATTGAGAAGGGTCATATATGCTTATAAGTGTATTTGAAGTATGCATAAAACACAAATATTGGGGGGGGGGGAATGAAAATTGAAGCAACATAGCTTGTTATCAAGTATCCACAGGATTAATAAACTATGAAAGCTTACAGGAACAAAGCAAAGCTGAAGAAATCTTAAACAAGTTTTATATCAGCTAACCATGTAGTAAGACAGAAGAAGATCCCCAAACCAGAAAGGAATTTGCAAGGCTAATGAGAAGAACAAAATCACATGACAAACAAAATATCTTTGCAATATGAGTTTGGCACATAAACAGAAGGACCAGACTAAATCGACAGAACTAACCTTCCAGAAATTTAGAGTGCAAAGTAAATAGATGAAGGCTTGAATTTTGGTCGGCTATTAACCAACATACACGTGGATACCAACAGCTAAGAGTAGGAAGCAAAGGAGTGCAAAGTAAATTACGGAATGCACCAAGATGGATAGTCCACTGGTTTGGAAGTTGCCAAACTCGATGAGCCGTGATCTTCCCGGAACCTGAATCAGCAGCCCCGGTGTTAGCAGTATGAACAGCACCGCCGCCACGATAATCGGCCCCCAATCGGACATCTTTCGTTTCCCTTTGTATTTCCCTCGGCAACCCTTTACTGTTATTCACTTGGAGTTGGTGGTATGATCCGATTATGATGAATATATGGAGATGGAAAAGGGAAAAAGGAAAAAAAGATGGTTATAATGGTAGGGAGTTTTGCTTTAGGAAGAAGAGACAAATGGTTTGATGACTAGGAAAGTTAAGGTTAGCGAATCAAGCTGGTAGGATTCACATTTTTCTTGCTTTTTGTTGTTTTTATCGTATGCACTTTGCTGTAAAGGATAATGCTTTCATCTCTTGATTATGGAAATCTGTTTTTCATTTTTCTGACATATGACATATCGTATAGAGTTCGGATTAACAACACTAACTTTTACCACCGATGCCACTTAATTAGTTGTTATAATTAAAGTTCGAATACATGTGTATGGATGACTTTTTGAGAATCATCGTAAACAAGAAAGCAAACCTCCATTCTTTTCCTCACACGAAAGACATACAAAGATAAGATGTTGTCAATTAAAGCTTTTTATTGTATAATTTGCGACAACAATGGCACTAGATAACGAAGAGATGAACAACAAGACAAAGAAAGAACCTGGGTAACTTTTTTTATTTTATTGCCAAATGCTCCTTGTTCAAGGATTAAAGGCTATGCAGTTAACCTTTATCTGTCTGCTTGACCGGTCTTGACTCCAACCCTTCCAAGTTTACTCATTGCTGCAACGAAAGCTCCAATGAAATTCCCAGGGTTATTAGCAAAATCAACCACAGTAGCTTGAGATGCTTTATTAGAGAAGAGCATTTCATCTGAAGTAAACAACCCCATCTTGTTAACTAGGTTCTTGAAATGCGAATTATCGGGAGTTCGTGGCGTTACAGGATCCATGTTGATGGCGATTAGAGGGTAGACATCTCAAGGTCAAGCTTGCATCAACTGCTGTGCGTAGGTCGCGTTGAGATCCAGATGGACGGGGGACGACGGAGTAAACGAGTATAACCGATTCACGAAGCGAGTGCAGTGAGCGAAGCCTAAAGTATGAGCTCCTGAGAGTGCAATCATATCGGTCTGATTAAGGTCGTTCTTGGCGAAAATGGTGTTGAGTTGAGTGAGATTGAAATTAGGCTCTGGTAGATTTCCTGCTACCCTTGATGCCATTGAAATAAGGTCATCACTTCGACCCAATTCTACTTTGAATGAAGGGCCACCGGCCTACAATTAGGACACACGAGTTTTGTTTTACCATAACTTTAACAATGAATCAAAGGCATTATTCCTAATCAGTTCTAGAACATCCCTGGTAGCAATGGCCAATACATCGGCGCACGAGACTACTCGAGGGCATTTTTTTTTGGACCACCGCATTATCTTTTATTACGATATAGAATGAGTTTCCGGCCAGTGAAAGATTATCCGGAGCATCCTTCTCGGCATCCCCATTCGGTGAAGCTATCATCACTTATCCATCACAACCCTACAAAAAAAGAAAAAGAAAAACTATACAGGCTTATTCCAACTGTTACATACAAAAGTTCACATGTAAGATATGAAAGCAAAATCCAACCTCAACAAAGCAATCATGGAAGAACAGACGCAGGGTTGCACGTACTGTGAGGAATGTCCGTTGAATCTTCTGTGCCACCACTTGTCTTACATGGATTCCACTCTCGGACAACTAGTACTGTAAAATGTCTCAGATATTTGTCCCTGTCCCTACGAACAATATCATCAACACTGTCCTGTTCGCTGCTATTTCTTGTCTTTACCTTTACAACTTGGCTTATTGTATATAAAGAAGAAGGTGAGAAGTGGTAAGTCTTATAATTTGGTGGAGAAGACATGCTAGTTCTCTCCTTGCAGTGATAAAAAGCTGTAATTGCCTTATTTCTTTGATTATTTTTTTTTTGGTTGCCCTACTAATTTCAGAGTTTCATCCTGACTTATGCGGACCGAACTAAGTCGAACAGGAATATATCTTTTTTTTATAGGATCATAGACCTTGGAAGCTTTTAAGTCAACTCTGACTACAACCACTTCAACGGGACTTCATGGCACTACCGTCCTTATCGTCGCCTCTTCCTCTCCCTTTATCCTCATCATCTCTTCCTCTGAGCTCACCACAACCACAACCTCTTGGAGGTCTCATCTCTGGTGAAGTATAATACCAAAGATAGTGGAGAGAGAGGAAGCAAGAAGCGAAGCAAAGGAAATGGCCTGGCCAAACCGTGCAAGGTTCGCTGATATAATGCACCACATCAGTATTTTATTGTACCAATAATAAATATTAACAATGAGTTATTGATTTATCATAAATTGATAATATTTTTAATCGTTATTTTTAAAATATCAATGAATTTCACATAAGTCAAATTAAACTTTCAATTAAAAATTTTAAATCAAATTCAAAATAAATTTAAATTCAAATAGAATTTTATTGAGATCAGTCGAAAAAAAATCAATATAAGTGGTTTGTGAAAATTACTAGTTTATTATGAATATAATTTAATAATAATTAATCTGAATGTAAAATTTATTAATATAAGTGGTTCAAACATCCTCTTAATTTGACAGGCTAAATATTGACTTATAAAATATATATTTAAAACGTTCATAAAAGAAAATTGTTTTACACGCGGCCAGTGAGGCGCGTATAGCAAAACGAACTAAACTCTAACCGTGCTTAATTTCACACCATATTTTAAAAAAAGGGCAAAAAGCCTGAAAATACTAGAACTATCAAGGGGCATTACCGTCAAATGGATCTGTATAAACACAATAAAAATCCACTTCACAGTTTGCAGAACGGCAGCTAGGCATAAATAAAAGGTAGGCCCGTAAACGAACCGAACGCACATGAATAGAGATATGTTCATGTTCGTTTATTTAAAAAATAAATGAACATAAACGAACACGAACATAAACGAACAAATTTTTTTTTGTTCATGTTCGTTTATTAAGGAATATAACTTGTTCATGTTCGTTCATTTAATAAATAAACGAACATAAACGCGCACGAACATAAACGTACACGAACATAAATGAACACGAACATAAACGTTGGAGACCCTACCTAGGGGTTTAAACGAGTCAAGTCGAGCTCGAGTATTGCTGAGCTCGACTCGAACTCGAAAACTTTCAAAGTCAGCTCGGCTCGACTCGAAAACTCGCGAGCTTAAAATTATCAAACTCGACTCGAACTCGAAATATAATATTGAAACTCGACTCGAACTCGAAAAGGCTCTAACTCAAAAAACAATTAAGAGCTCGATTAAAACTCGAGACTTGAGCTCGATTCAAGCTCGATTCAAGCTCGACATTGCCCCGAGTTGCTTATTTGCTACTGATGTGGGATTGCATAATGTTACTCCACTTTCTTTCTTCCAATCTCATTTAACAACAGTCGAGATGAACACAGATTATGTTTTATGTGATTGTCGACCTTAATCCTTGGGGATCAAATAAACATGTCCTTAGCTTCGTGCTATGTAGAAGTTGAAAATTAGGAAATGAGAGAAGTAGGTTGGCTAAACTTTCATATTCGGATGGCGCACAAAATTTGTTTGATGAAACGTGTTAAAGAACTTCTCAACCTATGGAATAAGGCCTTACCATTATTGGGTTCTTGAGTTCAAAGTAAACTGACTTGAGTTACTAATTGATAACTATTTACTTGTAAATTCGAATATTCCAATATAAATGAAAGAAAAAAAGATTATTTGAGTAGAAGAAACGGTACTTAATACTTAACATCCCTTCTAGAATCCATCACCTTTGGACTTGGTTTCGAAAGCAACCGGTTTCTGAAACTCCTCTTTGCTCATCAGATAACCAGCTGGTGGTGCAGTCACATAGGGTTTCGGCATAGTGGATGTTGATGGTGCTGGATATGCAGCTTATGGATCGATCAAAATGAACTAAACCATGTTAATATTGTTGAGTTTTCCAAATAAAATTGGATTAATTATAGAGTTGGTCATCATAATATCAAATTAATTAATATTTTTAAGATACTTACAAATTGATCACCAAAATTGATTTAAGAAGATTTGGTTAAACATAAATGAACATAAATGAATGAACATAAACGAACATAATCGAACGAACATAAACGAAAATAACCGAACGAACATAAACGAACATAACAGAACGAACATAACCGAACGTTCACGAACATAAATAAACGAACGAGACCTATGTTCAGGTTCGTTCATTTAATTAAACGAACACAAAATCTTATTCATGTTCATTCATTTAATAAATAAACGCACATAAACGAACTTCCCGCCGCACGATTCATGAACGATTCGCTGGACGTTTAGTTCATTTACATAATAAAAGGATAAAGGTACTCCTCTCTTTCTTCATAGGATCCCCAAATCTATGGTTATTTAATTTGGTTCCTAAATCTCTGAGTCGGTCTTTGTTAAGGCGAGAGAAGGTTCACTCTTCCTAGTTGGTAAGGTTTGCATCTCTTTCTTTAGTTCTTTGTTTATTCTAAAATATTATTTTAAAATTATTCATCTTTTTTATGATTTGATTTTGCGAGTCTTGTTTTTAAGTTGATTATATGTGTGGGTTTTCTTTTCTGAGCTTAATTTTGTTGTATTGGGTTCGGATTTGGAGAAATGTTGTTTGCTTTTCGAGTCAAGTGCAGTTGACTCCTAAGTTTTAGGATTTCTGAACTTACGTTTTGAGGAAACGTGAACTTTCAAGTGTTTTCTTGTTTGGTGAGTGGATATTTCTCTCTTTGGATCGAATTACGGTTCAAATCTCCAGGTTTTATGTGTGTTATTGGGTGGAAATGAGTGGATATTGAGTCTTGACTCTTGACTGTTCAAGATTTTTGTTTCTATTGATTTTATATTGTTAGTTACAGAATCAAATGATGAATACCTTCAATTTTCCCCCTCGGGTTTTGAGCTATTTCTATATCTTCTTTTGTAACAGTTCTTTACAATTTGTGTTGTCCTCTCTTATTAGGATTTGCAAAATGGAGAACATTAATAACTTTTGGAAGTTCGGAGATGATCTCCGGGGACAATCGAAAGTTGCGGAGGATCAAAAATGGTTGATGGCTGCATCAAAGTTGGCTGAACAGACGGGAACAAAGGGTGAACGAATGAACAATATAGATCTTTCAAAGGGTCCAGCTGAAATAAGGATAAGGGATAAATTTGGGTTCCAGGAAGACAAAAAATTTGAGAACCTTAACTTTAATATGTTGAACTCCAAGATTCAAGATACTGTAAGCAACAGTTCCTTCCAAAAATGGTATTTACAATATGAATGCTGTTTACCAGAAAAACAACAGCAACAGCCTTGGAAACCTGACTGGCAACAAATACATGGGCAACAATCATTCCAACAAAGAAATCAACAATAACAGCAACGTCAACAATAAAAATAGCAACAGCAATGCTAACAACGCTGTGGACAAGAGATTCAAGACTTTGCCTGCTTCCGAGACACTCCCGAGAAATGAAGTGCTTGGAGGGTACATATTTGTTTGTAACAATGATACAATGCAGGAAGATTTAAAGCGCCAGTTGTTTGGTAAGACTCGTATAATCATGGATGTAATTGTTAGTTCATTATCTCCTATTATTAGCTTTATTAAGTGGGAATTCTTAGTCCTTACAAGTTGCTGTTATCTCATTTAATAGGTTTACCACCAAGATACAGGGATTCTGTTCGGGCAATTACACCTGGCTTGCCTCTCTTTCTCTATAACTACACTACTCATCAATTGCATGGTATTTTTGAGGTTGGTTCACCCATTTCATTATTATCTAGCATTCCTTTCATTTACTCTGTAATGCTTGATGCTTTTGGTTGGTTAGGCAATGTTTTGCTCTTCACCTGTTAGAGTTTCTTTCTCCGAATGTTTGCATTTGCCATGCTTTTTCCTGATTAAGATTCTTTTCGAGCAAGTTATAATTATGTTATTTCTAGAAATTTGTGTAAGATTTATCCATGAAGCTTTATAACCATGAGATCAATCTCTCCGCTAACCTCTCCCTCCACTTCAATCCCGAAAGGAAGAGAAAGGTCTTGGATGTATTAAGTTTGTTATACTGTAGTGATTGGACACTCGTGTCAATTTATGTATCATAGAAGAAATAGATGTGAGCATTTTCATCTTCTATGCCGTCTTTTACATGAGCAGGCAGCAAGCTTTGGGGGTTCTAATATTGATTCAACTGCTTGGAAGACAAAAAGTGTAAAGGCGAGTCAAGGTTTCCTTCTCAGGTGAAGTTCGGGTTAATCATTTGTATGAACTGTATTATTATTACATGGAAGATGCACTAACCCAAATCCTTTTAACTTTTTACTCTAATACATAGGTGAGAATCCGTATTAGGAAACTATGCAAAGCTTTGGAAGAGGATGCTTTTAGGCCAGTTTTGCACCACTATGATGGTCCTAAGTTTCGTCTAGAGCTCTCAGTTCCTGAGGTATGACAAACAATTATAAGTTTGCCACAACATATTATTCTATTGCTGATATAATTAATGTAATTTTACTTGTTCTTTTAGCCAAAGCTAATGATTTTTTTGTATTGAATTCTTGCAGACTTTGGATCTATTAGACCTTTGTGAACAAGCAGGCTCCCCATAAGCAAAACCTTAGCTGAGTGCAAATGTAGTAGGGTTCATGGTGCAAATCAGCTATCCGCTTTTCAAAGACTTTCCATAGAACGCTCTAGCTATGGGCTTAAGTCTGGTTGGTGAGATCATTGGGAAAGAAAGTGGGAAATGACATTGGCCAGTTGAATGAATGCATTAGTATCTTGTGAAGATGCTCTGTTAACCTTTCTATGAATCAAAAACCCTCTAGATAGAATTGCAAGTAGTTGTACAGAATGATATGGCTGTGTAATGTTAAAAGTCAAGAAATGAAGGCCTCCATATGCTCATTTGTGCTTATTATGACTGTCACCTATCTTCTTTCTGTTGCTATGGAATCTGGGAGTTACCAAATTCCCATAGACCATATTCTTCACAAATCGCCTAAAGTGCAGGCTAATCAACTTTGTAGAAGCGGGTGCTGGTTGGTTATGTGAATCTTCAGAAAGTGACAAGAAAAACATACCAGAACCAATTTGAATTCCGGAGAGATGACAATCTTCACAAATGGCAAGTTATTTCTTCAATCTTCCATTGCAGGCAATGTTTATGGATTTATAGTGGAATTTTGACAATATGTAAGCTTTCTAGCTTTCTAATGTCGACTCAAGCTGAAGCAAAGATGATATCAAGATAACCCCCAAACTCAACGCTAAAATGGTGACGTCTTACATAAAGTCTAAACAACAACTTGATTAGTCCGACATGACTTGGTACAACCAACTCTCTTCATGATTGTTGATATTTCTACGATCTGCATTGATGATGATGCAACTTCTTTATTATCTTGCTATCATGCCAAAGCCTCTCAACAGGGATCACGGGTTCCCGTTAAAGAGTAATTGTGCCAGGAGTTATAGGTGCTCGTTCTGTCAAGTGGCTGGATTCTATCAATATAATAGCAGAAGAATGCCAGGTTGAAGGATGTTTCAACTTCATGTTAAAATTGATTTATTGCTCTGCATTTCCATCTGATTGGTTTCCATTTGCAACCTGGTAGGGCTTTTTCATGCAAAAGGACTACAAGATGTTCCTACCATCCGTGGATTGGGGTAACATCGACTGGAATACGAGAAAACCACAAACGAATTTCCCAGTTCAGGAGTTCACTAGATTTTGCTTGGATTGGTTTTTCTCTTAAATTGCATGTTAATGTTCTAAGGCAGGATATTTAATACCTTTACTTCCAAGTTCTCCAATAATCTGAATAACTACGAAGACTATGATTTAACACACACCGAGATTCCGAGAAGCTTCTTTTACATACTAGTTTCAGTTGGTTCTGCATCTGTTGGGTGGATTTTACGCATCAATAACTTATGTTTAATGTTGCGGTTCTCTACCTTTCCATTATCAAGAAAACTTGTACTACAAACTGAATTTGCTTTAATGCGGTCCGACTAATATTGGTTTAATTCATTGTTGGCAGTCTGTGATTTGTTCTTTGGAAGATGTTCAGTCAATAAAACCAGGAAAGGTTTGTTCCGATTGCGAGAATGGATTTATAAATTCCGTCTGCTTGTGTGTGTAAATACAGTTATAAGCTGACAAAATTTGATGCAGGTAACAATTGCCGGATATGCAGTAGCCAGAGGTGGCCGTGGGATCGAACGAGTAGATGTATCTATTGATGGTGGAAAAACCTGAATGTAAGCTAATATATTTCAGAAAACCGGTATCCCTTACATAGCAGATCACATAAGCAGTGACAAATGGGCATGGGTGTTATTTGAGGTCACAGTTGATATCCCACACAGTACTGAGATTGTGGCCAAAGCGGTAAATCACCTCTCATTTGATAACATCGCGCTTTCCGAAATATTTTCACCTCACAAGGTTGCACAATGAGCCTATTATTATCCGATTGTGAATTGTATTTTCCGTTGATGTGTCTCTCCCCTTTATTAATTTGCAGGTAGATTCGGCTGCAAACGTCCAACCTGAAAAGGTGCAAGATATTTGGAACCTAAGGGGGATTCTGAACACTTCATGGCATCGAGTTCATGTCCGCGTCGGCCACTCAAATATGTAAAATGAACCCTAATGGGACAGTTTAATAACTCGGCCAGCATCCTGAGATATGTGGCACACGCTTTACCGTTTGTTTAGTTAAAAGAATAGTATCCCCTGGCTTTATTCGTGGTACTGTTTTAATGGGTTCTTGTGTATTTTCAAGGAAACATAAATCTTTAAAACATCGTTCTTATTCGGCCATGATAATAATCGACCAAATAATAACTGGGTATTTTCAGTGGTCATTCGGCATTTATGAATACTGCATTTCCATGATATAAACCAAGAAGAAACATTGATGTCAAACCAAGAAGGCAGAGCCATGAATCTACCATGCATAATTACAGTTTTGCACAAGATAGAAACTATCTTTCTAGCTAATTTCTACTATTTGTAGGGAAAAAAAGTTTGATGATATTTATGCCTGAACAAGCTACTTCCTTCTCAACATCCCTCCCAATTGCCATCCAACAACATTACAATTCTATTCCAATGCCTACTGTGATACATGAATTAAATCAATGAAGGACTACCGGGTGCCAACTAGAGGTTTGGAATCATGATTCAAGTGCTTCCCGGTGCATCACTTCCAGCAGCTGGCTTGCGATTCAAATAACGGATAACAGCATCTTCGACCCTGTTAGAGTCATCAAAGAGAAACTTGATTAATCTTCATCCTTCACAAATACTATTATCATCATTATTGTTCTCCAAAGGTTTTCTATAAGAAATTAATTTAGAGAAGCATGTGAATGTAATCCAATCCAAGCATGTGTAATATATACAAAACAGCGGACTACTCAGACCAGCTAACAAATTTATCTCAAGTATTGAAAATTGTTACTCAAAATTTTTTATCAGTAAATCTCAAATCTTAAACAAGATGTCAGTATGAATTAAACATATAATGACTGATTTGTCAGCTGTCTCCAGAAAAAGAAAGAAAACACAGGAACAGTATCACTACTACACCGCAATTAGAGAGAAGATACAATAAGATGGAAGGGTCAATCAAAGACTGAGGTTTCTAACAGATCAATCACAATGCAAAATATTATCATTCATTAGTTGAATTAAAGTGTCAGGCTAGATTTTAAACCTGAGGTAAATAATCCAAAATTCAGCAGTAACAACTTCATCTAAACAGAAAAATGAGTTTACCATGGTTGGTTGAAGAAATCTGATTGTCGCTCTTTTGCAGCACTTCGACTAGCTTCCCCAGCTACCATTTTCACATCCAAGCTTTGAGACTCAATTAATGCATTAATAAACTCCACTGGTGATTGACTGAAGCCTAAAAAGAATGCTCGCCTTCTACGATGCTCGTGAATTTTCCTTATGGCGCCACATATTGCTTCATCACAAGCCTCAATCTCTTTGCTCTTCTCTGCATTTGACAAAAGAGCAGAGAGATCCCTCTGTATGGGAAAGGGCACATCCACTAACACATCATAGCATGCAGTCCCAACAGGACTGTTCCCAGAAAGCTTGATCTTATGCTCCAAATGGATGGGTGGTGGAGAAACAAATGCTGTGATATCTTCTGTGGAACCATGATAAATTTCATTTTTCTTCCCAAAACTTTAAGAAGTGGTGGGTCACAATTAAAGAAAGACGGATCATTTGGGTTTTGAAGTTTTCTAGCCTTCACGTAATGCCAAATTGCAGCGATAATTCTGGGGCGGTGTCAACCTCAATACCAAGGACTTCCATCAAAGCTGAAGAAAGCTGAACTTCTCAAGCGCATAATTCATTTCCAACCTTATATTCACAGTGAATCCTTATCCCCTTTTCTCTTCACCTCAAAACCTTCATTAGGGTTAGGTGATCGAGCATGCTCCCATATAATATATGATTATCTGGGTATAGTCTTTGGTCCAGGGAAATTGTCACTCTCTTGAAGAAAGATGAAAACTTTGGGTATGAAGGGTTTGTTTATGAACAAACCCAGGCTGATCTGGATCTACTCCATCTTCCAGGATTCTCCCAATTATCTTAAGGGTCCACGTAGGAGGCTCTGCATTAGGCTTCTGTGGGATAGTCTTAATCTGATTAGCAAATGTGTTGAAACTATATTCGAAGAGTTTTCTGAATACAAGGTGGATTCTTAAGTGCTTCCTGAATGTCAACTTTTTTCCTAGCTAATGCGGTGTCAACACGTGCCTCAAACTCAAGAAGCTGGGTATACAAAGCGATTCGGGAAGAATTGCCGCCACCCGATCTTGTAGTTGTTTGTCAGGAAGCTTTGCTTCTTTATACGCGCAGCGGGTGTAAGTTCCATTGTTCTCAATGGTGATACTGTGTTCATCATAGGGACGCCAGGAGGGTGCATGGGGGGCTTTTGAAGGATCCTTTTGCATTTGCACCTCCAGGGGTAGATATGGAAGGTGAAGACGAACCTAAATTCCCAATGCCAGCATTCTGAACCTGGTTAAGGGACAAACCTTGAGCTTGTAGATGCGCTTGGAGTTGAGCCTGAGCCTGAGCCTGTGCTTTCGATTGAGCCTGAGCAAGGGCCTGAGCTTGAGATAGCTGATACTGAGCTTGAAAACCAGCACTGAGTTGTGCTTGTGAGAATCCAGGGTTTCCAGGCATAGAAGCAGGCACCATCCCCGTGTTACCAAAGGGAGACGAAGACGCCCCAATGCCTTTTGGGGGATTATTCCCATTCATAGACATTACTAATCTAATTCACCCGGAAATCTCAAACATCCACCAAGATCTAAAACATCTGCAACAAAGTTAATTGCAAGCTATCTCAGCAAACATCCACAAACCAAGAACACCCGAAAAAGCAATAATTCCCTTCAAAACCAAACCTTAGAAGTTCAACCCTAAACGGCACCTGAAACCCCCCCAAAAAAAAGCCCTAAATCTACAAAAAATCTCCCAAAAGCGCTGAACTTGAACTAAATCTTACCCCCCCCCCCAAAAAAAAGCTTCTAATATGTAACAAGGGGAAATTGAGGGGAATAAAGATGAAAAGTGCAAGAAATGAAGAAATTCAATTACATTACGAGATTACGAAGAATAGTACAACTTGAAAGAGAGAATTAAAACGTTGAATTGAAAACAGAAAGGGAAAAAATGGCAATGATCTTACGAAAGAGTGAAAAGACTTTAAGCGTCTCTGGCTTTCCACGATCAGCAGCTACACAGAGAGTTCGTCTCTTCTCTCTCATGTTGAGTCTTTTTTCCCATTTACCAAACATCAATATGTGGGCCTTGATCCTGACCCGACCAATAAAGGACTGGGCTTAGCCTGCTACAATCATTACATACAAATAAACTATTTGTTCTTATCTTATTTTTTTTCCTATGTCAAATTCATAATAACTCTAATTTATTATTATTTTTTGGACTACAATTTTAATAACACTTATAATATTATTTAGATATTGTTACTACCTGTGAACCTCTAGTCCTGTGAACTTTCAGACATGTGAAGCGCATCCTACGAGCAATTATGTGTCGAGCACTTGTGATTCTCGCGAATGCATCATGTGTACGATCATCGATGACCGCGTGTCAATACACGTGGTCTCATATGATGACTGATTAGTCAATGACATCACTTCCTAGGACGTCCGATCAATATCAACATCACGACATTTCTCAATCAACACTTATCCAGATATTATAAATAATCACACAACAGAATGTAAGGGCATACACTCACCTTCAGCACAAAAACCAAATCAATACTATCATAACCACCAGAATCATCGCCTAAATTGTCGCCTAAACGCTCTCTTGTGGCCATAGGAAAAAGAAAGATTTAGCAAATCAAGTGTTAGGCCAACAGCCTAGAGGTTTGATTGTACGGTGTTAAATTACTTACTACTTAAATCAACATCTGATGGTTTTAATAAATCATTGTTAACGATATTTTACCTCCTCTTATCCCATTACATATGGGAACAAGGTACAATTATTTTTATTGTTAACGATATGAAATTCGAGAGAATTTCGAATATGTTCTTGTGAAAGCTTGAAGTATTGACCAAACTAATAGTATTTAATTGATCATGTGATTCGCACTTCACGTAAATAAAATATTTTTTTGGTTTTTTTTAAAAAAAAGGAGGAAAAAGTAGGGCACATTTTAATTATGAAACATTATTAATTAATCAATTTTCTATATAACTTTGGACCGCCAGATCTGGGCCGGAATAAATGTTTATCTGTTGAAATAAAATTTAATTATAATATTTAAATATTGTTCTCTAATTATCTCTTTTTAAAAAAAAATTGATTTTTTAATTCCTCAAATCTAGGGGTAGTGAGTTGCCGGCTAAGGTGGTTTCGTCAGATTTTGGATATTATTTATTTCTGGGAGGATTAGATTTAGAGAAAAAAATAAGATGATTACTTGTTTAATTTGTGTTATTTTTTTTTAGTTGGGGTCGGATTGAGATAAAAAAAAATAGGGCATTCATGTTAGTATAAACTAATAATTCTATCGGTCAAAGATAAAAAGTATTGATTAAAAAATCACATTAAATATTTTTTTTAATCAAATGGTCACTTTAAATGAGAAAAGTAGAGAGCCACATTATTTTTTTTCCTTTTGAAAAATGGAGAGCTTCGTGTACTCTTTTGTCTATTCTTTTATATCAATTATGAAAAATATAAGAGAAAATAATTTCAGTGACAAAAAATGTCTTATAATATATGATTTTAATCATTTTTTTTTTAGATTTGCCAAAATGACCAACTAAATCGCAATGCGATCGATAATTCGCAACGCGATCTCCGGTATCGTAAATCAGTTTCCAGATTCGTAACGCGATTCTGACTATCGCATTGCGATTTTTCGACTATCGCAATGTAAATATGTAAATCGTAATGCGATTATGACTATCGCAACGCGATTATGACTATCGCAACGAGATTCTGACTATCGCAACGCGATGCTGACTATCGCAACGCGATTTTCAAAGCGTCATTATTATCGCAACGCGTATTTTTTTTTTTAAATTCCAAACACGAATATTAATATATCGGAATACTGAACCGTCCACAGTATATCCCGTAATCGCAACTCATAACCTAAAACCCTAAATCACAACTCAATCCCATCTCCATCTCTCACTCTCTAAGACGACATCCGTCCCCATCTC